AGGACATCATCAAAAAAGTCAAATGGCTTACAAGAACCATGTCAGTTAGCTTTCAGTGGGTTAGTAGATCGGAAAATGCTTTGGTAGATTCTTTAGCTAAACAAGGGGCTTCAAGGGATTCTCTGTTTTTGGCTAATTTGTAACTGCAATCTGAAAAGAGTTGGGTTTGGAACAGATTATGAGGAGACCTTTGCTCCTGTGGCAAAAATGACTATAGTACGACTCCTATTGGCTATATCTGCAGCCAAACATTAGACAATTCATCAAATGGATGTGAAGAATGCATTGCTACATGGGGAATTGAAGGAGACTGTGTACATGAAGCCTCCTTCTGCATATTGTATAGATCCACATCTTGTCTGCGGCCTCAAGAAGTCTCTATATGGCCTCAAACAAGCTCCTAGGGCCTGGTTTGAGAGATTCTGACTGTTACCACTAATGCTGGCTTTATCCAGAGCTCCTCAGATCATTCCTTGTTTACTTTACATCGGGAGAAGGGCATGACAGTTCTTCTCTATGTTGATGATATAATCATTACAGGGAATGATGTAGAAGGAGTTGTTGATTTGAAACGACTCCTCAATGAATCTTTCAAGATGAAGGACTTGGATCCCTTGACTTATTTTTTGGGGCTTGAGGTAAGCCGTAATTCTTATGGTTATTTTGTCAACCAACATAAATATGCGATGGATTTTGTTGGAATGGCTAAGCTCAGTGGTTACAAGGCTCTTGATACTCAGTTGGAAATTAATCTGAAACTTAGTAAGGATGATGGTTCCCCTCTTGAAGATCCTACTCTCTATCATCAACCGGTAGGTAGTCTAATCTAATCTATCTTACTATGACTCGGCCCGATATATCCTATGCAGTCCAACTTGTGAGCTAGTTTGTGTCATCCCCAAGACGACCACATTTGTCTACAGTCCATCAAATTATTAGATATGTATGGGGGACTTTATCTCACGGCTTATTCTTTTCCTCCTCATCCTTCATTAGCCTCATTGCCTATGCGGATGCTGATAGGGCTGGCTGCCTAGACACTTGACGATCCACTACATTGTGGTGTTTTTTCTCGGGCAACTCTCTCATTTCATGGAAGTGCAAGAAACAATCAACAGTATCCAAGTCTTCCATTGAAGTTGAATACAAAGCCATGTCCTCAGTGTGCAATGAAATTATAGGGCTCCAAGCTCTCTTGCATGATATCTCCTACATGAGCCATCACTCTCTGTTCCTCTCTTTGCAGACAATGTAAGTGCAATCAAAATTGCATCCAACCATGTATTCCACGAGAGCACAAAGCATATCGAAGTTGATTGCCACTTCATTTGCGATCTTCTTCTTGTTGGCTCTATTTTTCTTCCACATGTGTCCTCCAGCCTCCAACTTGCTGATCTGTTGACAAAGGCGATGACTCAGACACAGTATATATTTCTCATGGACAAACTGATGCTTATTCCTAGGCATCGGTTTGAGGGGGAGTGTAGAGATAAAGAGAGTTATCCAAGGGTTATTTTGTACTTTTACTCTTTCTTGTACATTAGATTGTTATGTACACTATTATATGTATATTAAGGGCAGATTTGTCCTTTTATCTTCTTAATATAAATACCTTTTTCATGGGTGTTGACAGTCACTTTTGACACACCCACCAAGCTGTTGTTTTCTCTTTCTCGATCTGACTTTGACATAATCATCATCATCCAAGCCTTAAACCAACTAGATGGGGTCGGCAACATGAATTCTGTTTCACTATTCTGTTCTGTTTAATGCCATATCCATTTATTAGTGCTTAAATCATTTTTACTACTTCAACCCATTTCCTTTTTGGTTTACCCCTACCCCTTCTAGCCCCTTCAACTTGTAACATATCACTTCTTCTTATGCGAGTTGTGAAAGGTCTTCTATGTGTGTGACCAAACCATCTTAGTCTCACTTATCAAAAAAAAACCCATTTTAGTCAACTTTCTCTCATTTTATCACGTATTAGAGCTACATATAAGATGTTTTGTTTTAGTCTTATTTTAAAACCTCTTGTTTCTGAGGTATTTGTCCATAAACTTTATTTTGCATTCAATCCTTCAATAGTTTCATCAATTAAAACAATGTTATTAGCAAACAACATGCACCAAGGGACCTCTTCCTGAATATGTTTAGTCAATTCATCTATCATTAGTTCATATAAATAAGGGCTAAGTGCTTGTTGCACCCTCGCCAACAGGTGGTGGCTTAGTTGGTAGGATCTCTGGCTTGTTATAGCAGAGACCTGGGATCAAATCCTGCTGCCACCAGGGTTGGGGGTTAAGGGGATGGGGGATGGGATACCACCTGTTGTATAGTCCGCAAAATAAAAAGTGCTTGTTGCACCGTCATACATATCCTTAATTAGGTCTATATTGCCATTTTGCAATCCCTTTCTTTTCCAAGATCCGCATCTCTCTAGGCACTCTATCATATGCTTTCTCTAGATCAATGAACACAATATGGAGATCTCGACTCTAGATTAAGTTCTTTGTATTCAACAAATAATAAGTGGAGATTTGTGAAATCCTAGAGAAGAAAAATTTCCTATAAGGCCTCAAACTGACCTTTTATTACAATCTGACAATCGGGAGCAGCAGTTAAACTAATCAGGGATCCTTATATTTTATATAGAAGAATAATATAAAACATAATGCAGGATCATCCTTGCACTAGCCCTAAGAGATTGCATGGAAAGACTCTCACAGCATACAAGGATCATGAGTGGTGTCCATTTTGGATGCTAGTTTGGCATATGGAATTAACCTTGGTATTTCCCAACTTAACGGAACCCAGAGGCAGCTTGGCAACAATGTGAAAACCCATCCTTGGGTTGTGTAACATGGGCTTACTCAGATTGGGTTTGGTAAAGTAGTAAGTTGGTGGAAATTTCTCTGTTTTTCTTTATTTGGAACTCTATTAGAAATAGGAATTTAATAAATACCTATAAATCCCAGCTGTTGTGGTAAAGAATTGGAAGGAAAAGGTGCCTTGGAATGAGACTAGAGATTTTAAATGGCATTTGGAATCTCTCTCTCTCTCTCTCTCTCTCTCTCATTTCTGTAACCAGCCACCGAAGGCTCTTGGTGCTGTCTATTATTAATTCCAGCATTACAACATCCAGAAGCTGAGTTGTTATTTCACTTGAAATATTAAAAAAAGCCCATTTCCCACTGTATGCCCTAAATCTGATATTCTTGCTCTAGGTCTTTTTGTTCCTCTCTTTCTGCATTTGTGTTTACTCACTGCATTGTCGGGAGTTCTAGGATCATTGATGTTTTAGTAGACTCACTACTAGGTGGGTTCTTTATATTGTGATTCAAAATTGGCTAGCTCTTCTGTTCTTAGAAAAAGATATATATTCCTCTTACAATCTTTGTATTCCTCTTACTTTTTTTCATCTAATAAAATTCCATTTCATTTTTGTACAGCCTCTATTTGAAGTTTGAACAGGTGCCTTTTTTGGTTTATTAATGAAATATGGCTTACCTCTTCTAAAAAAAAAAGATACTTTTATTTTTGAAAATAATATCCTCTCTGTGGTAGGAAAATATAGAATAGGCTTGACCACCCTCAGATTTTGGTGGGTGTAGTTAGCTTAGGCAACCATGGATTTTCAGGCATGGATAGGGTGCTCAAAGACAGTCTTAGTACCATATTAGCCATCCATTCAGGACTTGTGGGGGTTGTGACTCCCTAAAAGTTGAAGTTTTAGCAGTCCTACAGGGATTGAGGTGAGAATATCTCTTTAGTAACATAATGGTGGAGGAGGAGGTGGTAGTGGGCTGGTCAAGGAACAATAGCATGGGTCATGACAATAAAGACACATTATGAGGAATAAGACACTTTGCTAGAGAAATGGTCGCCTCCTTTTGAAGATCAACAAGTGGCTTGGCTGATACAATGACTAAACAAGATGTTTTTGGCTATTTCTGTTGGGCTTGGGCCAACATAATGCAAAATTAGGGCCTTTTGTTGGGATGTATTCCACTTGAAGATCAACTGTTATGAATCTCTGTAAAAGAGGCTCTTGTATCTCACCACATAAATGCTTTCTTTGTGCAAGTGGGGGAATCTATATTTCATCTGCTTATCTCCTACAATTATGCACCATATGTCTAGGGATCAATTGTACTTGGGACGTAATTAATAAGTATTACTTGTAAGCAATTGGGCTAGGTAACATGACAAGCCTAACAAAAATATCTGCCCTGTATTTTATTTAGCACTCTTTTATTATAATCAATAAAATTCTATTGTTACCTATCAAAAATAGAAAAAAATCAGGGCTCAACTTTTTGGTGGGATGGTTGGAAGATGATTACTTGTAAGGAAGGTAGGGGCTAGGTAGCATGTGCTAACCTCTACTTTTGAGGTGCTTGGCACTTGTTGTATATTATTCATTCTTTTATTTACAAGCAATAGATTCAACCAAGGTTTAAAGTATCGAGATATTTCAAACACGAGCTCCACCTTTTTTTTAGTTTTTTCCCCCCAAAATTGACAGGGAGTCTGTCTTATCTTAACCTACCTTCTGAAAATAACCAAAACCCGAAACACTTCATATTTAGTGCACTGGGGTGTATCCGGAACAATATGATATACCCGATACACCTCAATACATTGCGATTTTTTGAACCTTCGATTCAGCCATTAGGATGGACCTGAGCTCTGTTTTCAGCACTTTGGTGCATGTCATGGATATTGCTCAGGTTTGGTGTGCCTGACCATGCTTATGACATTGTGACACCTGACCATATTGTCAGTTTCCAATCTCCAGGTGGTCTTAATATGCCAGCTACTGTTGATAACTAAAGGAGAAAAGAAATAAAGAAATATAACTTTTAGGAAAGACCATTGCGTTTTGTACTTTGGATATTAGGAAGATAGTTTTGACTGTTCTTATTTTTCAGCGAATGCTGTGACCAACTGCAGTTATCTTCATCCTTCTTATTGATCTTTTTGCCCCATATGTGCAGTGATGATCATCCAGAAAATGTATTAACATCAATGCAGACGATCATGGTACTTCTCATAGAAGAAAGTGAGGATGTTCTGGAGAACTTATTACTTGTTCTATTATCTGTTTTAGGCCGGGAAAAAAGTGTAAGTGCCTGCTCTCTGTATTCTGATAGTGCTCATGTCTTTAGTCGCTGGGCCCTGGTTAGGAGGAAAGGCAGTGGTGTAAATTTGTAATTTTCTGTTACTATCATGTTTGAGACTTCCCTGCAACTCTTTTTTTTTACAGAGTTGATTTTTGGAATTTGTGACACTAGGATGTTTCTATGGCTGCACGGAGGCTTGCTATGAATGTTATAGAACATTGTGCAGGAAAACTTGAACCTGGCATAAAGCAGTTCCTTATATCATCAATGTCAGGGGATAATAGTTCTCTGAATAGTCAGCTTGATTACCATGAAGTTATCTATGATATTTATCGATGTGCTCCTCAGATTCTTTCTGGAATCATCCCATATATTACAGGAGAACTTTTGGTAACCACTTCACTAACTTGCCGTGCCTTTTTTTTATTTGTTGTTATTATTTATATTAAGCAGCTCTGACTCTATGGTTGTAGACATTCTCTAAGGCTGTATGTGGGTGGGGGAAAGTGGAATAGTGTAGTATCAGTTTATAAAAAAAAGGGGGATAGTATTCATGGGGACCACTTCTGCAAGTTTCCAGGTTCCACTTCTTGTTTCAAAATTAGCACCATATGGAATCCACAAGTTTTTAATTTTTTTGCATGTTCTCCACAGTTTAAGTTGACATCAGGATCCCTTTTTTGGTGGTGGTTTAAGGGGGCGGGGGTGTAAAATCCATGGATTTTGTGGTGGAATGGGTTTTGATATAATTTTCTCCCGGAATTTTGCAGTTAGTATTGAGTTCCTAATCTAACTGCTTTTTTTTTGATAGATAACTGAAACTTTATTAATAAAAAACACAGCAAATCTACAGAGCTATATACAACGTGAGGATAGGCTAGAAGAGCTGCCTATCCCCAAGGAGAAAAAGAAAAATTACAATTACAGCCCAGAAGAGTTGATCCCTGTTTTCCCCTTGTTTAGCCAAGATATCAGCCATATTGTTGGCTGATCATCGAACCCACAGAAATAGCTAACTAGAACACTTCTACAATATTTCTATAATCTACTTTATTTTTTCAAGATAAATAACATATAATCTTAGATGCTCTATCCATGGTTTTCAAGATTAGTGAAGTCTATTGAACAGATTCCAAATTTTGAATTTCCATCTTATACAGGCAGATCAAGCAGATATTCGCTTGAAAGCAGTAAAGTTACTAGGAGACCTGTTTGCTCTACCAGATTCTATCATCTCTGAAGCATTTCAGCCAGTATTCTCTGAATTTCTGAAGAGGTTGACTGATAGAGTAGTAGAGGTTAGAATGTTTGTCATTGGGCATGTGAAGAGCTGTTTGCTTTCTGATCCTTTCAGACCTGAAGCTCCTCAAATCATTGGTAATGAGGTTTCTGTTTAGTTATTACATATTTTATTAGTACAGGGTAACTGTATACAGTGTTGACCTTGAGCTCGATGTTCATTTCCAGCTGCCCTTAGTGATCGGCTGTTGGACTATGACGAAAATGTTAGGAAAGAAGTTGTTACAGCACTCTGTGATGTGGCTTGTCATACCTTGAAATCCATTCCAGTTGAAGCCATAAAACTTGTTGCGGAGCGTCTTCGAGACAAATCTGTACTACTACTTTGTTCCTCTTTTTCTCTCTCATATTCATTTAGCTATTATTTTCAACAAATTTATGTTTCTGATGCTATTTGTTTCAAAACTTCCAGTTACTTGTTAAAAGATATACAATGGAGAGGCTTGCTGAAATATACAGAATTTATTGCTTGAAGTGTTCTGAAGGAACAGTTAGCTTTAATGAATTTGATTGGATACCTGGGAAGATATTGAGATGTTTTTTTGACAAGGATTTCAGGTAAGATACTTCTGTAATAGAAATAACAAAATTAATTATCCTCCAGTTTCATACTTGGGCATTAAGCTGGAAAACTGTATACTATAGTGTTCTATTTAAAGGCAATGTTCATTGAATTGATGCATTGCTTTTAAGGGAGTAGGCATGGTTATCTCCAAGAACATACTGGATTTGAGGTATCTTAACAAATCAGTGACTGGAAATTTCACAATTTTAAAATGCAGATGATTCATAATAAAAAATTAGATATGGGAAATTGGTACTTTATTTATCAATGTTTCCATGGAGATGTCTTAGGATCAACCATGGAAATGGAATTGGCCCTTGGGATTTGAATTAACTAAATTGCAATGAATTGCATGTATTTTGGCATTTGACTTCTTTTTGGATGCAGCTGCTGAGTCAAGCGTGAATTGACCTATGTGGTAACAAAATGACTAAAATTTGCACAAATGAATGGCTGGAAGGACTTTATAGTGGAAGGGGATTGTCAGGTGGTTTTGCTTGGCTGCAATTGGGTGAATGGTTTCCATGGACATAACAATTCCCAGTCAGGAAAGCCAAATCCTCAGGAACAATCTTGAACTGCTTGTTAAGATGGATTCCAAAGAGTGCTCTTTTTTTGTTTCATGGGGTTACCAACAGGGGGTAGCCCATCCCCCATCCCCTTAACCCCCCAACTCTTGTGGCAGTGGGATCCCAGGCCTCTGCTACAATGAGTCAGATCCTACCAAGTACCAACTGATCCACCACCAGTTGGTGATTCCAAGGAGTTTTAATGAGTTTGCTGATAAACTTGAAAAGCAGGAACCTCAAGGCAATCATTAGAAATGGGATGTCCAGGTCCTGGGATTTCTTTATTTCTGTTTGGTTATTGTAACATATGAGTGGGATTAGTCAGCTTTTTTTTTTTTTTTCTGTTTTTCTGGTTATGGTCTTGTTACCCTCTTGGGTTACCACATATTACTCTCATTTTCTTTTCATATGAATGAAAATTATTTTGTTATTTATCAAAAATAGACCTCTGCCCCCAAGAGAGGCTATAATGAGACCTTTAAGTTCAGGCCAGTTGATATAATAGTGAAGAACATGACTTGGAAGCTATCTATAATTTGATTAATAAAACCACAATTCAATTATCAAAAAATAAATAAAAGACTTGGTAGCTCAGTTGACGTGGAGGTGGATGGGAAAAACTTGTTTACCAAAATGATTAAAATCTAATTCAGAGGAACAACATCAGGGGAAACCAAATACATAAAATGCTTATACCATGTCAAATAATTCTAGCTCATGCTAAGCACAGATTAAAACAGGTGGAGAAAACCCACATCAAATAACCACTTTGTTAACACAAGCCACCATCACTTTTCTCCATGTCAACTTAAAGCCACCATGGAAGCTGTTTCTATTGAGGATATCAGTTCATAGATTCAACACACAAAGACAAAAACTATACAGTAAAGCTGAATACTTTCTCCAATCTTCCTGCTTCCTCCCTCTTTTGCACCAAAAAGAAATACAGAGGATAAAAAAATTAATGTCTAATCATGCATTTCCTCTATCTGTAGCTATTGATCTATCTTAGGGTGTTGATATTAACAAGGAAGAGGAGAATTTTATGCATGACTATTACTGCTAACCCTCCCCTCAACCTCCACCTTAATTGCACGCTTGCTGGTAGGTCTAGGGTTTGTTCGTAAAACTTGAGGAATGCCTTTCAGTTTTTCAATTCCCCTCTTGATAGGGCTTGTCAAAACATATCCTTACCAAAGTCTGTAATTCACCAAGTTAGCTCCATATTTTCCTTGTTCAGATAGATAAAATATGTGGCACAATTCCATTTTCGGCATACTCAAAGGGATCATTTTTGTCAGAAGTGGAGTTTGGATTTCCCAAATTCATTTTTATTCCTAAAATCAGCACAGTAACAGAACCTAACAGTATGGTTCTGTCAATAGAGTGAGTTATGCTTCCAGCAGGAAAGCCACCCCAACAAATCCATCTGAAGTGGTAAAACAGACAAAGGTTTTCCTCACTCATGAGGAGGTTGAAATTTTGATTCTTGCTTCTTTCTTGATTCTGAACCAGTTGGAATAAAAAATAAATGGGAAGGTAACTTTTGGAGTTCTAATCGGGTAATGATACAAAGACTATAGGTGTAAACAATTGGGGTTTCTTGAAACATTACAAGAACCAATCATCATCTCTAGTACACACCTTGAGGTTGAAGGTGACTGTTTTATGCCATGTTACAGGCAATTAATTTGTCTTTATAGAAGTGAGCTTCATTAAATGGAAAATTACATCAAAAAGAGGATTTTGTTTTTCCTGTTGTTCTTCTGTGAGTGTTAAAATATCTCTTCTAACAGTATCTTTGTTGGGCTTGGATACTGTTGCCTTAAAGGTGAATTTGGTGTTGAAGCCCTTGAAGGCGTGAATATTGTGCCTCATTCCCTGGCCTTCAGCATTTCTGTGATTTGGGCTTTAATGGCAAGTCTTCAGCTGAAGCATATATTTTGAAGATCATAAAAACATAATTCTCTTCAACTTTTTAGTGTCTTTCTTATGGTGGTAATTAGTAATAATTGGCGATGTACATTGAAGGTCTATCTTGCCATTCTCAACTGTAAGGGATACTAGGGTCAGGGTGGTTCCTTCATAATATTGGACCTATGGGGGATGCCAACTCAGTGAGAGAGGAGCAGCTTTTCTTCTCCAGGGGTGTCAAGGGTCAGATTGTCATTCTGCATGGGCTTTGAGGAGATCGTGATAGCAGGTAACTCCAACATTCATTGGCTATGGAACAGGGGGTGAAACATCTATGGGCCTATGAAAACTGATTCGCTATATTTGAGTTTTTAGACGAGTTACCTGACGGAACCCCTAATCTTGTTGGCTTTAGAGATCTGCCAATGCTAGCTCTGGTATGTTGGTTAGGGCTGTGAGGATGTACATTTTATATTGGGGTACTTTTTTACTGGCATGAAAGGTGTCTTATATTTTTGGTTTTGGTGATTTCCTTGGTTTTTAGGTCTTGTTCATTGCCAACAGGCTTTTCTTCTTCTTCTCTTTTGATCTCTGTATCCTTTCTTTTTCTTTCTGCAATAGTGCTTTTTTCAATCAATTATAAAAAATGATGTGTTGCACATTAAAATATTTTGACGTATTCAGACCAACTTTCCATTATTAACCAATAGCAAACGTTCTGTAAATTCTTTTCATTGGCTTTGTACAGATCAGAGACAACTGAGGCTGTTCTTTGTGGATCCTTGTTCCCCACTGAATTCTCAATCAAAGACAAGGTGAAACATTGGATTAAAGTCTTCCCAGGGTTTGACAAAATTGAGGTTAAGGCACTTGAGAAGCTACTGGAGCAAAAGCAGAGGTTTGTCTCCAATTTTTTAACATCATTTTTGGGTGATGTTCATGTCTCTTTTCTGTTCACTTCTTCTATTTGATAGTATATAGACAAAATTTCAGCGAATTTCCTATTGGATTGCAGGTTACAGCAAGAAATGTTGAAGTATCTCTCTCTTAGGCAGATGAATCAGGTTTAGAAATCTTGAAAATTGAAATGCTAATACTAAATCTTCTGTAAAGTTTTATCACAATTAAATCTCATCAAATGCAGGATGGCGATGCCCCTGAGTCCCTAAAGAAAATTTTTGTTTGCTTCCGGATCATGTCCCACTGCTTTCCTGACCCTACTAAGGCTGAGGAGAATTTTCAGATTCTTGATCAACTGAAAGATGCTAATGTTTGGAAAATTTTGTCAAATTTACTTGATCCTGGCACTAGTTTTCAGCAAGCTTGGACCTCTAGGGTATTTCCTTCATGCTCCTCTATATATTATTGCGATAAAAGCAACAAAACATTGGCATGATTTTTTTGAAAGAAAAAAATAGACATAATTCAAATAGTTTCTTTTCTTTTTAGTTGTATATGAAATTTATTAATCTGGCATGGGCACTTCTGCAGAAAAATAATATGGTTGCTGGCATTGTTTTCTATTAGAATATTCAGATGTTAATGTTTTCTTTGTTAATGTAGGATGAATTGCTTGGGATCCTTGGCGAAAAACACCGACTTTATGATTTTTTGGGAATACTCTCAATGAAGTGCTCTTATCTACTCTTCAACAAGGAGTATGTTAAAGAACTCCTTTCAGAGATTTCTGAACAAAAGTCAGCAGGCAGTACACAACTAATTCGATCATGCATGGATCTACTAGTGGTATAATCATGTCTTTCCCATCCTTTCTGTACTTGTAATATTGCAACCTAAATTTTTATCCTTTAAGGTAGCTCCACTGTTTTTTTCCCTTTACTGCATATTCAAGGTCATTCAGATGCTTCTTAGTTTTTCCTTCAACTTCCTCCTTTTTCTGTAAATGTCTGTCATATTCAGTGTTATGATTCTTGAAATTCTTGTTAAGGCTTATTATTCTGATAATTTCTGCAATTGCTGACTGACTTCACTATTCCTTAATGGAGATTGTCTTCCATCATTCCAATTTGTCTTTTTTCTTGTTTTCCCCTTTGTCTGGCTTATGGAGAGTCTTTTTTCATCCTTACTGTATCATCTCAACAGCTTGATAGAGCTCAACTTAGAATATCATGAGGCAGCTTCTTAAGGTCAGCTGATGGTTAGGTGGGCTAAGTCCATCAATACCATCCATCTCTGGAATTTCTTCCCAATAATGCAGTTCACAAGGTGGATTCATATAGCTTACATCAGCGCCAATGCCTCATCACTCATGTGGGATATAAGCTTGTTTTCCTCAACCACATATCAAGTAGTAGAATGTGTACATCTTTCTTTTTATGAATAAAATTTCTGTTATTTATCAAAAAACTGAATAGAACAATAATGAGACTTTCTTTCAGAGATGGAGAATCTAGACTCCACTTTATAAATTGGATGATGGTGAGCAAAAGGAAGAACCAAGGGGGATAGAGATTTTTTAATTTGGGAGTTGAGAATTCAGTGTTATTGGGTAAATCACGTTAAGAGATTTCTGCTTGACTTGGGGGCCTCTTGATAACAACTGAAAATGCTGTAACTGAAAAACTTATTGCTTCGTCTTTTAGTAAATAAGTTTTTGAGGTCATGGGTTCCTTAATGGCTGAAACTGAAATTGTAGATCACAATATCCTTTAAGATTTTATTATATAATTATTTTAATAACTAGAAGACAAAGCAATAAGCCTTTCAGTTCAGAAATCTCATCCATTAACAAATGGCCCCTTAGACAAACTATGGCATAAGGTGAGTGTCAATATCCATGATACATAGACTAATGGCTAGGATGCTGGTCTAGAAGTTATTAGTAACTTGTCTCCCACTCTCCCCTTGGAAAGCTATTTCTAGCTTGGATTCTCTCTCTCTCTCTCTCTTTTAATGGTTCATTTGGTATCGTATTTGCTTTGGGAAGAAAACCAAGTTTTCGAAAGACCTTTAGGTGGGGGATAATCCTTTGAGAGAAATTTTTCTAACCTTCTCTCTCTACCTATAAAAAATAAAATTATTTCCCACTTTTCCTTATTAGATGTTGGGATTTCTTGGAACTTTGGTTTCAAGAGATGCTTAAGGGATCTTGAAGCTCCTAATGTCACTAGCCAGGCATTCAATTTTCCTTTAGGTTCAGTTTGGAAGGAGTACAATATGTAGAGTGCAAAACCTTGTACTTTGTATGTATTTGTACTGTACATATTTGTATTTGTATTTACACTCTGGTCCACTTTTGTGCCGTTTGGATGGAATGTAAAATAACAACAATAATCGATGTAAACAAGCTCTTAGAAAGACTTTTACATCGAGAATCGATGTGAAATTTACATCGAAAAAAGCGATGTAAAAAACTCTTCGAACTCTCCATCGATGTAAATGTATAACGTCTCTCTTCTCCTTTGAAACTACTCTGTCTCAACCTTGTGGTTTCAATCTTCTTATAGGGGATGCCTCCGACAAGTGTTGCGTAGCGTTAGATCGATTTGACAAGTTTAGCATAAAAGATGTTGAAATGGAAAAGGAAGATGATAAGAAAGAAGAGACCAAGGCTACTAGAATGGAGGAGTGCAAAACCAAGGAAGAAACTTTACCTTTCATGCTGCAGAGATCTGTAAAGCAGCTTCACTTTGGGAGTTGGGAAGAGAAGGAGATTGTGGTGAAGGAAATCAGGAGATTGGCCAGAGAGGATCTGAGGACAAGAAAGTCGCTTGCGGCTCTAGGCGTTATATCGTCGTTGGTGTCCATGCTTGGTTTGGAGGTTTCAGATCATCGGCGATTGGTGGCTCAAGCATTAATTGAGCTAGCTAATGGCACTTACATATAAGTTTCCTTATGACTTACTTCGAATTGAGATTATCAGTTCTCTCTGTTGTTCGCTTTAGTTCACTTGATGATCGGTCTTCTCTGTTGTTCACGCTAGGTTTTACATCATTTTGCCAAACACACAAGAGTGTAAAACGAGCACAAGGCCAATTCGCTTTTTTACACTGACAATGCTGACCGTTGTAATACTCCATCAGTGTAGTTTTGTATTTACACTGCAAACATGTCTCTTGTTTAGTTTGGATACATTCAGACTCAATTAGATCATACCCTCTTTGTTAAGAGGAGAAATACTCTTTTCTTATTGTTTATGTGGATGATATTGTTATTACTGGCAGTGATACACAAGAAGTTAATGATCTCAAGAAGTTTCTTAATTCTGAATTTGAGATCAAAGACTTAGGAGAGTTGAGGTATTTTTTGGGCATTGAAGTTGCTAGATCTAGAAAGGGTATCTTTATTTCCCAGGGGAAGTATGTGCTGGATCTTCTCACTGAGATTGGGAAGGTTGGTGCTAAACCTTCCTCCACCCCTATTGATGTGAATTATAAACTCTCATATGATGATGGAGAACTTTTGACTGACAGGGGAGTGTTTCAGAAATTCTTGAAAACTTCTTTACCTCTGTATGACTTGTCCAGGCATTTCTTATGCTGTGAGTGTAATCAACCAATTCATGCATGTTGTAGAAAGGGTGATATGCTATCTTAAGGGAACTCCCAGGAAGGGTATACTGTTTGCTAAACGTGGTCATATGAAGGTAGAAGCATATAGAAATGCTGATTGGGAAGGTAATATAGATAACAGGAGGTCCATATCAGGCTATTGTGCTATGGTAGTTGAGACTATTGTTTCCTGGAAGTTGGCTGATCTGTTCATAGTCGGGCTATGTTCTAATGCAGTTTTAGCAAGAAAACAAAAGAAAAGAGAGGAGAGAAGAGAAGAGAAGGGAAAGGTGCGGTTGATTTGTGTTTGCTGCCCCCCTCACAATTGGTATTTATATGTTTCTAAAATAAAAGTTAGTACAATGACATAAATACCCCTGCTGCCCAAGAAACACACAAACAACAACAACTAATAAAAAGAAGAGACCTTGCTAATTTACTATAGTATTTCTCCACACAAAAGTCTATCTCTAACTTGTTGTTTGTAACAACTTTGGTTAAGAGGTCAACAAGCTGCATATCGGAGGCAACATAGGGAAGACACTTCTTGAGAAGCAACTCTTTCTCTAATAAAGTGTTGATCCTCCTCAATATGCTTGGTCTTATCATGTTGTATTGAATTATGAGCAATATTAATAGCGGCTTGGTTATCACAATACAATATCAGGGGCTTTTCATATTCAATCTCTTTGTCCTCTTGTAGGGATCTTAGCAATAACACTTTAGCCATGCCATTAGCCATAGATTTGTACTTTGCTTCAACATTGGAGTGGGCAACAACATTTTGTTTCTTATTCCTCCAAGAAATTGGATTATCCTTAACAAGGGCATAATAACTTGAAGTAGATCTCCTATCATCAACACATCCAACCCAATATGCATTAGTATATACCTCTATTTTCATGTGACCGTTATTCTTGAAGAGTATACTTCTACCTGGACACCTCTTCAAGTAGGCAAGATGGGATGTTCTGGGAGACTTCATATACTGACCAACGACATTAACAACATAAGAAATATTAGGACGTGTTAGGTAGAGGTAGAGAAGATTTCCAACCAGCTATTGATACATGCCTTTATCTTCAAGTGGCTTGCATTTATCTTATGATTTGGCTCAATTGGTATGTTTGCTAGTTGAACTCCCAATTTTCCAGTTTCCTCTAGGAGATCAACAACATATTTCCTCTGGGAGATGAAGATACCATGCTTAGACCTGGCCACTTCAATTCCTAGGAAATATCGCAAATCACCCAGATCCTTCATCTCAAACTCCTTACTAAGTAACTTCTTAAGAGAATTAATCTCATCACTGTCATTGCCTGTCACCACAATATTATCAACATATACAACTAGAAGAGTTAAGGCTGAACTTGTTTTCTTGATAAAGAAAGTGTGATCAGATTGAGCCTGTAGACAACCAAATTTCTCCAGGGCAAGTTTGAATTTGTCAAACCATGCCCTTGGAGATTGATTCAAACTATACAAAGCCTTCTTTAGTTGATAGGTTTCTTTCCTATATCTCCACCATAGAAACCCGGAGGCAACTCCATATATACCTCTTCTTGTAGATCACCATTCAAAAAAGCATTTTTAACATCTATCTGGAACGACAACCATGAGAAGTTTGCAGTAAGTGACAACAACACTTTGATAGTGTTCATTTTGGTGACTGGTGCGAAGGTTTCCACATAATCAATACCATAAGTTTGTGTGTATCCCTTAGCAACCAGTTGGGCCTTGTACCTTTCAATTGAACCATCTGCATTGTACTTCATTGTAAATACCCATATGCACCCAATAGGTTTCTTCCCTCTCAGCTAATCCACCAACTCCCAAGTATCATTTTTGATAAGAGTATCCATCTCAACTTTCATTGCTTCCTTCTACTCAGGTACTACTAGGGCTTCTTGTACTGTTCTGGGAATGGGTATAGCAGCAATGGACACCAAAAAAGACTTAAATGAAGGTGAAAGGTGGTCATAAGAAAGAAACTGGGAGATGCAATGGGCGGTTGATGAGGTGTGATGGCGTTTCCTTTTGTGTATTGCAATAGGAAGGTCAGGATCATTTGAGGGAGGCTGAAATTCAGTGGTGGTAGTAGGCATGCCATCTGCAGTAGTTGTGGGTAAAGAGGTTGTAATACCTGGATCTGGTGCCACAGAGGAGACTAGAAATGGCCTGGACTGCTCATTACTGGAACCAACCTGCCTCCGTGTTAATCACACCACCAAAGACTCATAGATATCTAAGGAAGAGGCTTAAAAATGAGTCTGTACAGCAACCAAGTGCCAATTACAGCTCTGAATTAATCTTTCAGCAACCTAGTACCAGTAGAAGTAAACAAGATAGGCTAGAACCCTAGAACTGATCTGTTTCCAGATAAAAACCTTAGAACCAGCCCTAGAGAAAGCCAGAAAATCCAGCCGCTCCTTTCTGAGGAGTCCAACCGCCTTCTACAAGCTGTCGATCTTAGAATGTATTTTCTATCCAGAAAAGTACTGAACGCCACTACAAATGAAGGTTTAACCCCTAAACTTCTATCCAATCCTAAATCTCTAATTCTTCTTGGTTGTTGGTGATCTCCAAGATTACACAGGTCTTGGGCAGCAACAGACTTCTCCAAAAACCTCCAAGAATCAGGCACACCAAACTGAAAACTCCAGCCTTAATTTATCCTCATGTAGTTGGCTAGGAGAAGCCTACATGAGAACCCTAAGATGTCCTAAACTTGGCTCTGATACCAAGTTAGCTGATCTGTTCACAGTCGGACTGTTTTATGATGCAGTTTCAACAAGAAAACAAAAGAAAAAGAGAAAAGAATAGAAGAAAACAGGGAAGAAGAGAAGAGAAGAAAAGAGAAGAAGAATAGGAGAAGAAAGGTGTGGTTGATTTGTGTCTGCCACCCTCTTCACAATTGGTATTTATATGTTTCTAAAATAAAATTCAGTACAATGACATAAATATCCCTGCCACCCAAGAAACACTAACAGCAACTAAAAATTAACAAAAAACTGACAGCGACTAATAAAAAGAAGAGATTCTCCACACTGGAGAAGTAAAAAGAAGTTAGTGGTTGATAGATCTTCAGCTGAAGCCAAGTATAGGGCTATGGTCCATGGGGTTTCTGAGTTATGGCTTAGATCTCTCCTTGATGAAATGGGCATCCCATTTGATAAGCCTCTGATGTTATATTGTGATAATTAGGCTGCTATTAATATTGCCCATAACCCAGTTCAGCATGATAGAGCCAGGCACATTGAGGTAGACACACTTTATACAAGAGAGAGTGGCCTCAGGGGAGTGTGCCTTACTTTCATTGCTTCAGAAGTGCAACTAGCAGATTTTCTAAGGGAGTTTCCAAAGCAAAGCTACAACATTATATAAGCAAGCTGGACATGATTAACATCTATGCTCAGCTTGAGGGGGAGCATAGAGAGATTGGGCTGAATGGGCCTTAGCTTTCTTTGTTTTAAATAGCTTTATTTTGTTTTTTGTTCTGCTGTAGTGGGCCTTCTTTATGAGCCTATTTTATTTCGTTTTGTTTATGCTTAAGTCAGCCACCTAACTAAGGACACTCTTGTAACTTCACACATTTTTTATTTCAGCATATATAAATCAAATGAGAGAGACAAAAGAAGAGAGATCAAACTAGTTTCTTCTCTCTTCTCTTATCTTCCATTCTCTCATCTTCTTCCTAAAGCTTCTGCTGAAAGTCTTCTTTCTTCCTTTCTCCTTCTATTTTTATTTTATTTTCTAAATTATTACAGGTGTGTTCTGCAACTCCTTTCTTCTCACTGCAAAAGGGAGAAGAAACTGGAATTACACTCTTGACCTGAGAGCATGCCCTGTGATTTTAAGGTTTTGATATTTATAATCACAACCAACAGTTATATTTAGGTCCTTGTGGTTCTGCACCAATAAATTTGAACTTGTTTTACAACCGTTTTAATGTAGTAAACACTTGTACTAGTTTGGTTCTTAATTTTATTGCAGTCACGATTTAGCTGTCTCCTGAGGTATGTGCCCATATTTGTAGACACCTTTTCTTAACTTCTTGGTGACAACTTTCAGATTATTGCCCATTTTTCTCCGTTGCTATTAAGTGGGATTGAAGAAGAACTGGTGAATCTTCTTAAAGAGGACAATGGAATAGTTAAAGAAGGTGTTCTGCATGTTCTGGCATGGGCTGGAGGAACCATCCGGGAACAATTATCAATGACTTCTAGGTGCAACCCTAGAAATGTTGAATTTCCAGAAGCTACAATTTTCTCTTTATTTTCTTTTTATTTTTCTTATTTTTTAATGTGGATATGCTTTTTCTGTCTTTGTTATTATGCAGTTCAGTAGACCTTATATTAGAGAGAATATGTTTAGAGGGTAACCGAACAGAGGCCAAGTATGCTGTACATGCCCTAGCAGCAATAACAAAAGATGATGGCCTTAAGTCTCTCTCTGTTCTATACAAGGTTTCCTTGCTCACAACCCTTTTTCATTTAATAGTAGCTGGTTTGGCTCTATTTCATAATTTGCTATTTCTTGGGATGATATTTGTACTTGCATGACCTGATGCATCTTACTGGATTTGTAGAGGCTTGTTGATATGCTAGATGAGAAGACACATCTTCCTGCAATCCTACAGTCTCTGGGATGTATAGCACAGACTGCAATGCCAGTTTTTGAAACTAGGGAGAGTGAAATTTTAGGGTTTATAACAGGCAAAATTCTTGAGTGCAGTAATGTATGCCTTCTGCAATTAACAAGACTTGTTCACGTTATTATAATATTTACAGTGATCATCAATTTTAACTTAAACATTTATCTTTTCTATTCCAGAAGGAAGAGAAAAATACTCAAAGCTGTTGGGACAACAGAAGTGAACTTTGTTCATTGAAGGTTGTCAGGATAGGGAAAATTGTTTCTTAGTTACTAGTCCCTCATAATTATCTGTGGCATAAATAAGTTCTAGTGGTTTTCTTTTAGGGATATATATATATATATATATATATATATATATATACTTGTCATTCGCTAGTCTTTGCTTTTTTCAGTGCATTATCCTGGTGAATTCAAAGGAGGATTTATAATCTCTTGGTGATCCACAGATTTTTGGTATTAAAACATTGGTGAAGAGCTACTTGCCTGTTAAGGATGCTCATTTGCGTCTTGGGATTGAAAATCTCTTGGGAATCCTTAAAAATGTTCTTACTTTTGGAGAAATTTCAGAAGATATAAAATCAAGGTACTCTTGAGAGAATGTCTACACATTAGTATTTTCCAGGATATGAAACTGAAGTGCCTTTGATTTATTGCTTGCTGGTTAGTTAAAAGTATGTCTGATCTTGCCATCTGACTTTTTTTTTGTTTTCTTTTTTTTTGTGTTTTTTGGTTATCTATTTGCAGTCCTGTTGATAAGGCCCATTTGAAGCTTGCTTCAGCAAAAGCAGTCCTACGTTTATCAAAGCACTGGGATCATAAAATACCCATTGATGTTTTTCATTTAACCTTGAAAACGTCAGAGGTTGAAGCTTCCCTTTCTGAAGCTTGTGTTCAGATAGTATTTTAAGTAGCACTATTTGTTAAGGTTATTCTTGATGATAGATTTGATTGTTACCTTCAACAAAGAGCAGCTTAACATTCATAGTTATTTATGTGTTGCTTGCTTTCATGTCTCACAGGTTCTCTACCCTCAAGTTAAGAAACTTTTCCTTGGAAAAGTACATCAGTATATAAAGGATCGACTTCTTGATGCAAAGTATGCTTGTGCATTTTTGTTAAATTTAACTGGATCTCAGGGGCCAGACATTAAAGAGGTTAACATTCATATTGTTTATAATGCATGCCAAATTATTCTTAATGTTTCTCTTTCTATTTTATTTCATATTATTATATTACTTATTCCATCTGGTGGAATGTGGGGGAGTCTCTTGTTGTTTGTCTCTTTTCTTATCCTTATTTGGTTTGACAGGACAAACATAATCTAGTTGAAGTTATTCAGACGTGCCACCAAGCAAGAGCACGCCAGCTTTCCATGCAATGTGATGCAAATCTGTTGTTGACATATCCGGAATACATACTTCCATACCTAGTTCATGCTCTTGCACATGACTCTTCATGTCCTAACATTGATGATTGTACAGATGTTAAAGTATTTGAACCAATATTCCGGTACAACGGCTATCTTCATTTACTTCTTTTTGTAGTATTGCATGAAACATAGTTGTGATTGACAAAGACATGAGCTCTCTAATTTGAAATTAGCACCATCCTTTATTTCTTAGTTACATTTATGCAATTCAGATGTTTTGTTCTTCTGTTCACGCACATTTTTTTTTTCATTGGCATCAAATATTGCATATAGACATATGGAGTGAGATCACATAGGTATGTTTTACCATCATTATTCGAGCTGTAAGAATAGTTCAGTCAAACTAGTTTCAGAGATAGAGAAGAGAGAAAAAGAGAGAAGGAGAAGAAGAAGAAGAGAGGAGAAAGAAGTGTCGAACTGAGAAGTCAAAAGGACTCTCCCAGCTGACCATATATTTATATATCAAAAGCAATGTACAAAGTGAAATATGCCCCTACTTAAGTATGGGACATGTAATTAACATAATACTTAAACAGAAAAGACTGAAATGCCCTTCCTTAGCTGACTCTAACACTCCACCTCAAGCTGGAGAATATATGTCATATAGTTCCAGCTTGTTACATATATAGCTCACTCTTCCCAAACTCAACCCTTTTGTGAACAGATCTGCCCACTGATCACCTATTCTCACATGCTCTGTACTTATGACACCATTAAGGACTTTTTCCCTTACAAAATGGCAATCTACCTCTATGTGCTTAGTTCTCTCATGAAAAACTGGATTGGATGAGATGTGAATTGCAGCTTGGTTGTCATAGTATAGCTTCATGAGTTTGCTTATTGAAAACCCGACTTCTTAAAAAGATTTTTCAACCACACTAGTTCACATGTAGTGTGTGCCATGGCCCTGTATTATGCTTCTGCACTACTACTTGCTACAACAGTCTACTTCTTGCTCTTCCATGTCACTATATTTCCTCCAAGAAAGGTGCAATAACCTGTGGTGGATTTCCTGTCCGATACTGAGCCTGCCCAATATGCGTTTGTATAACCAATTATTTCAAGACTACCTCCTGGCTTGTACAGTAACCCACGGCTTGGTGCCCCCTTCAAATACCGCACAATTCTAAGAACTGCGTCTAGTGAGGAACTCAGGGGCTTTGCATAAATTGGATTACCACACTGACAACAAATGAGATATCAGGTCTAGTGATAGTTAGGTAATTCAGTTTTCCCACTAGCCTTCTATTACCTTCCGGGATCATCAAATAATTCTATATCACTGCCCAACTTCACATTCAATTCCATGGGAGTTTCAGATGGTTTAGCACCTAATAGTCCTGTTTCTTCCAATAGGTCAAGAACATATTTCCTCTGATATAGGTTTATGCCTTGCTTCGATTTAGCAACTTCTATACCCAAGAAATATTTTAACTTCCCAAGGTCTTGTATCTGAAAGTGATCTTGTAGAAAGACCTTCAGTCTATCAATCCCAAGTCTATCACTGCCAGCGATGACTATGTCATCCACATAAACTACTAGCAAGATCTTCCCGGCTTTAGAGCCATAGCTAAATATTGAGTGGTCAACTTGACATTGTCTCATTATCACTACTTCACTAAATTTTCCAAACCAAGCACGGGGAGTTTGTTTGAGCCCATAGATTGCCTTCTTGAGCTTACACACCTTACCATCCTCCCCTTGAGGAGCAAACCCTGGTGGTTGCTCCATGTACACTTCCTCTAGAAGATCACCATGGAGGAAGGGATTTTTAATATCGAGCTGAAACAGAGGCCAATCATTCATGACTGCTAAGGAAATCAACACACGTACTGAGCCAATCTTAGCAATAGGGGAAAAGGTTTCCACATAATCTACACCATAAAGTTGAGAATACCCTTTTGCATCTAAACAAGCTTTTAACCATTTCACTCTCCCATTTGGTAGATATTTAACAGTATACACCCATTTACAATCAACAACATGCTTACCTGGGGGAAGATTGGTGAGTTCCCACGTATGATTGTGATTAAGGGTAGAGAGTTCCTCTTCAATAGCTTTATGACACCTTGGCATGGTAAGAGCCTCCTGAACATCCTTAGGTGTAGATACAGAGGATAACAGAGAAACAAACTCGTGATGGGAAGCAGAAAGGTGAGAGATAACATAATTGGATATGGGGTGCAGAGTGCAACTACGTTTACCTTTTTGCAATGCAATAGGAAGGTCGAGGTTAGAAGGCAACTCGGGTATGGAAGAAACTGGATCTGCAGATAAAGTAGAAGCTGGAGGAGGTGCTGGTCTCTGTCGGTGAGTATACACTTGACGGATTAGTGGCCTTTCAGTAAGTTCTTGCATTAGGGGAGGTGGAGACTTAGTCAATGGGAACAACAGGAGTGGGATTATCAACTGGAAGAGGAAGAGGAACCTCTTTGGGAGAAGGAGAAATATCAGGACTTGAGAAGTACGACACTGACTCAAAGAATATAACATTAGGACAGACAAACGATTTCCGAGTAATGGGATTGTAGCATTTATATCCTTTCTGAGTCCTAGAGTAGCCAAGGAAGATACACTTAATAGAGCGTGCATCCAACTTGTCTAGACCAAGACCAAGATTCTGAACAAAACACACACACCCGAAGATCCTGGGAGTCAAGGGATATGGAGACAAAGTGGGAAACAAGATAGAGATCGGAGAACGACCATCAAGAATGAACGAGGGCATGCAATTAATGAGAAAATAGGCAGTAAGCATTGCATCATTCCAAAAACGTTTAGGAACATTCATATGATGAAGAAGAGACCGAGCTGTTTCAAGTAGATGTCGGTTCTTCCTCTCAGCCACCCCATTTTGTTGAGGAGTGTTTGCACAGGATGTCTGATGAATAATGCCATGTTGTTCCAAATACTACTGAAATGAAGTAACAAAATACTCTTTGCCATTGTCTGAACGGAGAATTTTAATTGAAACACCAAATTGTGTACACACTTTAGCATGAAACTTTTGGAAAATGGAAAATAATTCACTCCTTTCTTTCATTAAATAAATCCATGTCATTCTTGAACAGTCATCAACAAAAATAACAAAATACCTGTAACCATTATAAGACTCAATTCTAATTAGACCCCAAATATCTAAATGAACCAAAACAAAAGGACTCAACATGCGCCTATCAACTTTAGGATTGAGGGAAACCCGGTGGTGTTTCCCATACTGACACGACTCACATTGCAAGGAAGACAAGCGACTCAATGACGAAACAAATAGCTTGAGAGCTTTAAGAGATGGATGGCCTAGTCTACAGTGCCACTGGAGAGGAGTCAAAGAAGTTTAAAGTGCAACTGTAGAACCACCACCGTCAAGGTAATACAATCCACCAGCTTCATGCCCTCCACCAATCTTCCTCCCCGTCTTGAGATCCTGAAAAGCACAAGAAGAAGGGTAAAACGTAATGGAACATTTGAGTGATTTGGTTAGTTTACTAACAGACATAAGATTAAAAGGAAACTTGGGTACATATAAAACAGAAGACAAAGAAAGAGATGCAGTATCAACATTACCGACACCATAAATGGGGGAAGTAGAACCATTGGTTAGGGTAACATTATGTAATGTGGAGGTCGGAGAAAGAGAGGAAAACACACCTGGAGTCCCAGTCATGTGATCAGAGGCTCCAGAGTCAATTATCCAGGGGGAAGGTTTTGATGCCAAGCAAGCCATACCTGAATGAGCAAAGGTGGCAGTATTCTGATGTGAAGTAGCCTCAAGGAATCTCTCATACTCATCTCTTGGAATACTCATCATCTCCTTCCCAGAAGTAGTTGTGACTGTAGAAGGTGTTGGATCAACTGGCTGATTATCACTGACTTCACTACCACCAACAACTGCATGATTAACCCATGTGGAGGGTGGTCCATGTAGATCATAACAGAAATTAATTGTGTCCATCTCTTCCACAATGTGTACATTTCCTACTAGTGCTTCCTCTTCCTCTTCCATGGCCTCCCCCTGAATCACGACCTCCACCATTGCTACGACCAAACATAGGGTTACCATGGCCCCCCCCAACTATACGACCACCTCCTCTGTTCCCATAAGCTCCTCCTCGAGTTCCAACAAGTGCTGATCTGTCAGGAGGTATGGTACTCTCTGTGGGACCAAGAGAAATTCTACGGAGATGGGCAAACACTTCCTCTAGGGTAGGAAGGGCAGATCCACCTAATATCTGTGCTCTGACAGTTTCATACTCTGATTTCAGCCCCACTAAGAACCGGGTAACATCAAGTTGTTCCCTTTGTTGTTGCTGAATTTGGACATCCGGAGTTAAGGGATGATAGACATTAAGTTCATTTCGAAGATTTCTCATACTGGCATAATATTCTTCAAGGGTCTGATTTCCTTCCTGCAAATTGAAGTACTCCTGATAAAGCTGATAAACTCTTGTAGTGTTGTCTTGTCCAGAATAGAGTTTCTTGGTGTGCTTCCATATATCCTTTGCTGTGTCTAAGAACATGAAGTTAACACTGATTTTAGGCTTCATATTGTTCCACAACCACATCATGGTTTGAGCATCCTCCTACTCCCCAATCACTGAAACCCGGAGATTCAGTAGTAGGTTTCTCCTCCTGTACATGTTAGCCCATGGCACATAGTTTTCACCGTTGAGTTTGATGAATGTCATCTGGACACTTAAAAAATCAGAGGAAATCATCACACTCGATTTCTGGTCACCACTAACATCTCCCTTGATGCCATTTCAACCTATGAAACTGGTTCTGCCTGTCCTAAAAAAATATTAGTCCCAAACACTTCGACTATTTTTCTTTGAATACTACAGCAACACACTCATTACCATACAGTGTCTCCTCATCCAATCACCATGATCCTGCCCTAGCATACATTCATCCACTTCTGTGAACATACGGTTTCATAACCACCATAAAAAAAAAATATCCCTCTTGAAACTGCTCAATAGAAGGTTCAGACCACCACAACTACAACCACATGGCCACCAAGGCTGTCACGCATGGTGACAGCAGTCCAGAAATTTTCTACTAGGGCTGCCGCAGTCCCCCT